TAGAAGTGAGTCGGGGGTGGGGGTGTGGGTTCGTTCACGTGCCTGATCAGTCAGAATCATATATACTGCTTGAAACCTAAAGCTTTGGGTAATACTCAGTGATTTTGTTTACCGCTCCTCCTTTTAGAATCCTCATTGATGGCTGCCTGCCCGTGTTTAGTGTGGATCTGAACGACAAAATTGTGAAATCCTTGTTTGAACTGGTCACCAACGTACCTTTTCCTGAACCTGACAAACGACTGACAACTCCAGAGAGCCCCTCAGATGTTCTTAAGGTAAGTGATGACGTTTGACTATATTTTAACTGTCGACTTCTGAGACCGCTCTTGATCACGATCTCGTTTCAACAAACTTGCGTGTAGTCATGAATACTCACTGCCCTGCTATCCGAATTCGGAGCATTCGATTTCACCAGACGAATTTTTTTATTGCGCGATCATATTACCATTGAACCCTTCAGTGACAGCTTCGTCTTTTGTCTCATCGGTTTACGTTAAACAGGATGCTGTTGTTCTCCCCGGTGCGATCCCATCTCGAGACGTATTGCGTGCTGCTCGTCAACTAAATCGCAGTGCCAGTATGTCAACCGTGGGCAGCTGGTTTTCAGATAATCTGGATGAGTTGGAGGAGGGTGAGGAAGAAGATGCTGACTTGCTGTCCGACCACAGCGACGATGAACCGGGCGATGAGGGCCCAAGAGAAGATCAATCTTTAGCCACCCGCTCTTCCAATTTGGACAGTGGGGTTGAAGGGGATGATGTGCGAATCAAAGCAAACAAGGTATGAAATACCCAATTTTTCTGTTCTACTTCATTGTGGTCCAAAAACAGTATTGAAGTCAGTCTGCGTGAAGTGTTATCAAATTATACTTCTCGCCTTCCTTGTTTCGGCCTGGCTATCGACCTTTCAAAGCAACGTTAATGTGACATCTAGCCATCTTTAGTCGTCCAGTAAAGAATCGATCATTATAACTGATTTTTATTGATGTTTGGGGGCGAGATGGCTCAGTGGTTAGAACGCGGATTTACTGGAAGGTTCGTGGCTCGAACCCGACCTCTGTATCTCGACTTCCCCTGTCTAGGCTTGGGCAACCTAGCAGCATTCCAGCCTTCGTGTTTCCTTCGGCTGGCATGGCAGCCAGACACCGAAAGGGTGTTACAGCTGAACGATTATCTATCATTATTTCATTTGCTGATGTTTTACTAGTGTTCACTGACAGCTGGGACTATTATTGTTGGCGAGAACTGGTTTGTTCACTCTAGGCAGGTGAGACAGTGGACATTCAAACGCTCTGTTATCCGTTAGGAAGTGAATGTGTTTTATCGGTATCCGCTGATTATAGTGTCCGGAAAGCGTCAGTTTAACAGAACGGAGTGTCCAGTTTTCAAATGCTATCAATCCTTCTCTGCGGTGTGTAAAACTCGCTTTTCCGTGAAGAAAATACATACGTACACCAGCACACATACACTAGCTAACGGACGCAATGAGCAGTGATTTGTCAGTGGTATAGATGGATGCTCAATAACCGATCGACTGAAAATGTGCGGTCTCCACTGGCTAAATAGCGTTCTAGAGAGAGCCGACCCTCCGCCCAGCGTTGTTTGTCAGTTTCCAAATTTAAGATTAGCGATCAGCGGATGCAATGGTGATGAGCTGTGCAAACCTTGACCGTACCGCTTCGCGAAATCGTTGTTGGTTCTCTACCAGACTGGGAATCAGGTAGCACCCACAATTGGTGGTTGGAGGCACCTTCCGATATGGAGATGTGTCTAATCATATCCTTGGTTCGTATCCGGATACCAGTCGCCCCTAATGACCGAACATCACATCATTTGGACGGATGTGTCACGTGCAGGGTACGGACCAAACGAAGGCATGCCCTGATTGGTCAGAATGCCAGCCATTCCGGGTCGAGCGTTTTGGACTCTATGCTTCTCGTCCCCTCACGGAGATTCTAGCACCACCTTGTGGAACTCTCTGTGATTACCCTATAAATACAGTTGTAGTAATCTTTCTTTGTCTCTAAAAAGGGCTGTCTAGAGCTACCGTGCCTTTTGGTGTACCCTAGTGGGCGGAGCAGAAAGCCAACGGACCGATACAGAGTTGCACTACCGTCCACCAAGTCGCAACAGTTCGAGTATTCTGTGTCCGATACCGCGGTTTTCATTACAATTTTTCCTCTTGTGTGACTACGTGAGGCGACTGGACAAAGATGACCATCAAAGGTCTGTTGAACGAGTAGTACTTTTTTAGAAATTCTCTCCTTAGATAAACAACATACCTGTGTAATCATTCATCTGAACGCATGATAAATTTTCGCTTTGGCGTAGTTTTCTATCAGGCTTTGACGGTAAATTCACACCACCTTCACTTCTCTTCTTACCAGGCAGCTCGAAGAATGCAACGGGAGGCGGCCATTCGTCGCCGTCGAAGTGCTAATTTGATTGATCTCAAAATAGAATTCGTGGTACGCATGGTAAGTATGGCGTATTTGACCGATTAATGTTTTCTAATGGGTATGATCTCAGGTGGGACAGTTGGACAAGTGGAAGCGGAAGTGCCCTTCACTGTTTCTTCGTTTCACTTTATTGTACCTTACTGCTGTTCGGTTGGTTGCCCATTCGCACTAAATTTGCATAGAGTATTGAATCAGCTTTTTTCTACCATTGTTTTTGATTCGGGTGACCTTCGGGTGCTCTACCGGTGTACGAAAGGCGGCCAAAAGATCCGCTGGTGTTTTTTGCACATGCCAGCCGTTCGCTTAAAGAGTGCTGTGCAACGTGGAAGGTAACCCACGCTGAGAGCGGTATACTTATGCCTATATTTCTATTCCATCTTGGGCGGAAAGCATTGAACACATGCCACTTTTACCTCCAAATGTCTATCTCCTGAGGCAGGCTCGGTCAGTTTCAGGAATGTCTCGAATGCACACTGTGGAAGTACGTCAGTCGGCTACGCTGAAGTCTCCGATTTCTATTCGCAAACTATTATCAGTTCCTTTTAACAAGACGTTACTCATCTACATCAGGTTTCGCCAGGCACCGTCGATGCACCGTTGAATGTCTTTTTTGCCTATCTGTTGCGTAATATGTTGGGACCAAATATCAAAAGGCGGAAACTTGCTGCTTTATTTCGTCTCTTTTGTGGAGGGCTCGGTGGGTGCATCCATGCAGATGGATAAGAACCCAATCTTCAACGTGGTAGTTTCCAATCATACGAATGCTGCTTAGTGAATTAGGTTGGTTAACATACGGGGTGTTTTCATATTGTTGTCCAACAGAACGATGTCACTGCTATATTCCGCGTTGCCACATACCCAAACTTGAGGAGCGAACTGGGCCCCACAACGCCCCTGACCGTCATCCGCATGCGACAACGAATTAAGGGCTTACTTCGTGTGCTGAGTACTCCAGTTTGTTTTCTGGTTACACTGATCTTTAGTGCAGCAACGGTGCGTCACTTTCTGTGGACATCGTAGTGCCATGCTTTTGATGGAGGGTGCACCTCTAACCTTTACACAACCGAGTCCAACTTTCAAGGCAGCACGGAACATGCGGCGAACAAGTGATCTGTGAAGCCAGCATGACCATTGAATTGAGAGGGTAATCTCCTCCCAATCCACCGGCGATGATTTACATTTTCGCCGTTTTTGGTTTGGAATCAGTGTTTAGTTAACTCTACCAAACTGTCACCAATAAAGTTATAGCGCTTAACACTCGCTGACCCTTTCATTTCTGTGAAAAAAGCACCACGAGAAACAAACACCGAATAAAAATTCCTCAGTAGCGGATAGATGGTAGCATATCTGTCTGAAGCATTTCAGTGGGGCGCAAAGAGCGCGATTACTTGTTTCTGAAGACACCCATTTCTGACCATCCTCAGACGCCTGGAAGCACATCTTAGATTTCCAAACGACTCGGCAGCTAATTTCCTACGTCATTAACTGTTACTGGTTATGATTCCCAGTGTTTCCAAATCAGATATCGCTATCTTTTTGAAGCATTTTTGGCTGCTCCATTTCAAAGCAACCGTCTAAGTTTTCTATCGGCTAAAGATGGCACTTCTAAATAATAGGTCAGCAATTAAAGATGATGACTGTTCACTTAAGAGGTTACTGCAAGCGAAAAATTGCGACCGAACGTTTAACGGAAAATTTCAATCACCAGAAAGTGCGGAGTTTTCAAAATGTTGAATACAAAACACTGGATTTGTGGAATCGCTCCGACGGTCGTATTTGCAAGTGAGGACCGGGAAGGCTGATGGTGCTTACTGTGTGCATCATACCATTTCGTGACTGCATCTACTTTAATCAAACAATAACCTTCCATTTTTATTTCAGATCCAAGTACAGCTCATCCAAAGGGCCGAGCAACAGTCTAGTCATAAGGGCATAGACACAGTAATCTTGGCCTTGACGGTTCACGACGTGGGAACCCAGGTTCTGAAACGCCGCTGGGATCAAGAGTTGCACGTAAGTTGGCCTTCGTTGACCTGGTTGATTAACTGCGTGCATAGTACAAACCTCTGGAAAATGTTGAGATATACATTAGTGTATGAGCTTTAACAGTTACTGTTTTTTGCCCGGTTTCCACTTTATTTTCCCATTGATTCGTCTTTTAGGTGCTCATTTCTTAGGAAGCATGTCTATTCTGGACAGATAATATGATACGCTCGTTAATGATTATATTGTATGATTGCCTTTGATACGTCGTCTTTCCCCTCGATCGAGACTAGATGTACTGGATTGCGTGGCCAGGTTCAGTGTTTCACTGGAAGTTGTACAGTCTATCTCAGTGATTTCCAACTTACACATTTCTGTCCGGAATTCGTACTGGCATTTGTGCGTTCAGACACATCTAACGATGGTGCCTGACGGGCCATCATCGTTTTTCATACCAGAGATGTGCGTTCAGACACATCTAACGATGGTGCTAGCCCTGACTGGCCATCATCGTTTTTCATACGAGAGGTTTTCCAACCTGAATTCCAGTTATCAGCGAACCACCAATGTTCAGCATTGTTTTTGCTGCTCGTTATCATTGTTTCTAACCAAAGCCTGTCGTGTGACGGAGAGAGATGGACCTTCCATATAACAGAAACCCATCTTACGTATATAGTCATTCTAATGGGTTGGGACAGCTTTTCCTCATTTCCGTTCCAGTTACTCGAATGTCGGTATGTTTTTTTTATATAAGATATAAATAAGCCTTTAGCCCAGCCTGCCATGTATCCGAGTGTCTTTTCTGCTTTATATTTTTTTTCCGTAGGATATCTTTTTACTACAATGCAGTCTTCCTTCCCGGTCCGGTTTTTCTAAAAGGCTCATGTGGGAACTTTGTCAGTCTCAGTGCCACGCTACTCTGACCGCCGAACGGGTGAACCCCTGTGCTTGGCAAAAACAAAGCGCCATGTAGAAGGCCATCATTTGCTTGCCGTCCACCTACTTGTGGCTGAGAAAAGCTGTCCTGACTTCGTGGTACGCTACAATAATGTCAGGCATCACCTACAGTGCGAGTTCAAGTCTTTGGAGGTCAGTATCCTGTCTCTTCGCCCTACGATTTCTTAATATTTCCACCCTTTTCTTGTTCACTCATTCACTCTCTCGGATTCACATTCAATTTTTTCCAGCTCTGTGTGCACCAAGAGGCCACACTTCTGCTCATTGATTTCTTCACTAGTCTTCTTAATCAACTTGTTTTACCGTCCGAACCCGAAGAAGCGGAAATGAAACCAGAAGCCGAGCTTACAGGAGAGGCAGAATGGGCTGCTAAAGTTGGTGATAAGGAAGGACTCGGTGCTCTTCAGCAGCGTGCTGCTCTGGAGGACGCAGCCGCCAAGGAGCTTCCGGTTCGATTAACGGCAGTAGCTGCAATTGAAGGACACCTTGCAAGGAAATATGAACGTCGTGTCATTCGCATCGATGCTTCCACGTCGGCAGCCAAGTCTGGTATGATCAGTTTAACCATCATGCATTCTTCCACTTCGTTACTTCTTAGAGGTATTTATTCTGTGGTGTTTGTATGAGTGACTCCCATATGCTGTCGTACACCGCTGCAGCGACCTGTGTAATCATTTTTGCTTCACTAATAGTAGTTTCCGTTTGTTGCATGAATAGTGAAAACCACTGTGACACCACTCCGCTTTTACTGCTTTTTGACTTTCACGCTTGGAATTCTATTCCGCGCGAATTCGTTTCCGACACTGCTCTACGCCTTGTCGTGACGCCCACTTCCACTAGAATCTACTACAGTGGCCGAGTTCTCATGGTTATTCAAGCATCGCGGTCGACGTCTGCTATGCTTTGATCGCTCGATCTCGCTGGGATTAAGCTGGGAACGGGGTTACCGAACGGATGGGACTGTTTTACCTGTCCTATGATTTTCTCCATTTACCATCATTTAACTCAGAATATCCGCAGTTTGCCACAACTGTTTTCGGTACTGTAATCGCAGCTAACGGGCTTTCGATGGGGCTGCTTTTTCTAGAAGCGCAATTAACGTTGACTGGGGAAAGGCTTTGGGGAGGTCAAGAGAAAATTCCTCCTTAGGAATTCATCATTTCTATTGTGAAATGAAGTGGTTTGTTTCTGTGAGCGAACGAGTATTTAACACTACAATGAAATCAGCGTTATTTGAAGAATGGGAAAAACCTAAGCCGGATTACGAGCTACCTGACAAACATTTCTTTCAGCATACCTTTAATCATTACCCTCGGATGTTTGTAGCCGGATTAGATAGGAAAGTTTCTTCTAGTTGTTACTATACTTCTATCGGAGAGAACATTGGTCACTCAAGTTGCGTGATTGATTTTCGGTTTATGCACTGAGCCAGGCATTTAGGTTGTATCCATTTCACCAAGTCAAGATGACGTTATCAATGCGTCGTTGTCAAGCTTCTGCGACGCACCGCACCGTTTCGTTTCACAATAGCGCACTTACGGTGTCATATTGATTCGTGATGAGACGTTCGCAACCTAATCGAACCTGCTCAGACATGATCTGTCAGTGAGTTTCCCTAGGGAATACAGATGCTGTTATTAAGGCACCAATATAACCCTTAACGTTCTTTGTCTCAAATTAGGTGTCCAGATTGCTGTTTAACTAATAGGCATACCACCTGTATTTCAACTACCCGATGCTCGTGACCGTTTGTTTCATGTGTGCAACACTGCTAAGTTGAGGCCGCCCTAGGTAAAGCGAACTCACAGAGACTGAAAAAGTAGAAATTTTCTACGAAACGAGCTCTGTTACTAAATGAATGCTACACATTCAGCTTTAGAGTGCTTACGCATGTTCTTTGTGGCCGTACTCATTTGGACACGTGCCGCTGTAGTCCGCTTGTTTTCGACAGTGTTGCTTGAAATCTGCGTCATTCTGGTGTGTTTATAAACAGTTTTGTCTTTTGGATAGTCGACTCTCCCCTGTTTGATCTCAATCAATTCCCTCAGATGTTGGTAAGTGAAGGTAGCGCTGCAAGCACTTCTGTTGTTCGTAATTAGATATTAGACATGTTTCACGATATGCATGAGGAATCTCTTACGACAATTACCTTCCAAACTTTTATGTGGTCGTTTACTCTCGATTTCACATCGGCAAGGTTGCTGCGACTGGAGGTAAAGTTGGAATAGCGATGCCTCCAAATTGAATACTAGCTGCGAAAGAACTTGGCTATTTCAGTCTCACAACTCACCTTTCTTCCCCACTTCATTTACGTTCGGTTCTGTTTTTGTCGTGATAGAACAGACTGTTGACGTAGAGCTAGTAAAAGGACTGTTGTTCGCGCTACCTACGTGTTGTGTTTTTTTTCTGACGGCATCGCCTCAGCATGTCTGTGCTTTAAATTTCGCATTGTTATTTTCTACCTCCAAATAGGCCAAACTATGCTTATTCGTGAAATAGATATGACACAGTGGCTAATCAATGCCACCTTGGATAAAGTCTCTTTGACATTGTGTTCCGAAAACTCGGATGTCTTGTCCACGACGATACATGGGCTACGTGTGGACATACAAATGACGTATTTGACCATAGAGCTGTCCGCCATACTCTCGGAGCTCAGCGTGACTGATCGAATCGAATCTACGAATTACCGTAAGGTCAGTTATCGTCCATACCTTCAGTTTTCTCGCTGGAATTGTACGCTAGCGTATTATTGACTTAACCACTTTAGTTCCGAGTTTCATTATTTATTTGATAAATTGTGTCGAAGGCCTTGACATACACGATCATTGCTGATAATGTCGTGCCCTACGCAGTTATTCAAGGGCGTATATATATATATATATATATATATATATATACTCCAAAAATCTACCTGGAAGCCACTTCCAGTTCAAATGAAATCAGCTTGTGTTTCATCGCTATACCATTTGTACCAGCGGTATTTTTTGATCATTGAATAGGTCAGGACTGATATTCCAGTGATGCGAGGACTGATGACTGTGGTCTTGTTGCACGAATGCACGCCGTTGATGTGATGCCGTGCCGTTGCGTGTTCTTTCTGCGTTAAGTAGGAAAGTGAATGAGCCAATGCCGATAGAAACCGACTAGATATGCAGAACGGAAACCTCTTGTGGTCTGCAACTTTGACAAAACGGCTGGTGAACTCCACTGTCAAGGAAATCGGATTTCTTATTGAGTTGAATTCACAAATTTTACGATATTCTGTCGGTGTGATCACTACTCATTTCAAGGCGGTAGCATATTTTTCAAGTTTCTGGGCCCAACGCGTTTTTACTTCAAGTTTAATTGTCGCGAATCTGCAAGTCTGTGTGCATCTAATGACTTGAAGTCGCCCCAGACGAATTCCAATTTTGTCGATCTAACTCGCCTGTTTTGCTCAAGCTATACTTTATTTCCTTGTCTTCACAGTAAGATTCGTGTGCCTTTCGCTGCACGTATGCATGTGATTCAGTCTGACCTCAACTGTTCTCTGTCTAGATATTATGGGTCGACCCAGCAGAAAGTATCGTGTCCCTCCAACTGACGCAATTCACTCAGGGTACGCGATTGCTCGACAATGCATATAATCCAGACAAAGTGGACATGGCCTTGAGTCTTCAAATCGGAAAGGTGCACTTGGTTTTCCTGAACCACTTCATCATGCGCGTTGTGGTGAGTGATTCGCTGATTCCGTTATAGCCAACCCTGGTCAGTTAAATTCATGAATTCTTGTGGCGTTCACTGGATTTTCGTAACCTGTGGTCTATGACTGCTTACGAAGCTCTTCCGTATCACACTCACTGGTGACCTCGTGATACAATCTCTCAGTCTTTCTGTTTTTACCGATTGCAACTGTTTTCATTTCGGCACTTTATCACCTGTATTTCCAAATATATTGAAGTTCAATGCCTCTCTGAAGGCTCTGGAGTGGACGCACGCTTGCTGAATGAATGTTATCGATCTAATTCTCGGCAATTATTATGCCCACTGGTTCCATTTGGTTTCGTTTAGTTTACGGCTTTATGTAGAAGTTCAGTTCAGTCCAATCTATTCAGCTTATCAGCGATAAACCATGCACAAGGGGTACCTCCGGTTCGGGCTTATACAGTTTCGAAAACGCCAATGACCCACGGAAGCGACTTTTCTTTCTACACAACCCTTCGGAACTGACTTTTGGTCTCGGCGTTTTCATGTAAATTTGAAAACCTGTTAGCCTGTGATAGTAAAGCACACTTCTAAATCTTTTTTATATCGGATTGCCNTCTTTGCGACACTTCTATTCGCTGTTCAGGTGTGATAATGTCTCTTTCCCTATTCAACACATTGCCGCAGAACTTTATGAATGCGTTCCAATCGAAAACTGAGGCGATACTGAACAAGGTTCATGATCTCTCCGATGCTGCTGCTCAGCAGGTACGTCTTTGGAATAAGAGTTTATCTTTCTGAACATTTCCACAAGGTTTGGTATAAAATGATTGACCAATATTGTTGTAGTATCAAAGGAACATGTAATCGGTCGCGACTCTTATCTTTTGCCCAGTCCCAAGTCACTATTTATTACAGTAACGAAGGTATTCATATCTTCATGTTGTTATTGCATGCTTCTTTACATTCCTTTTCCATATCACAAGCCACGTGATCTTGTGGTTTTCCCCCTTATCCGGACCTGTTCAGTCTGTGCTTGCTTCCACCCGATCCACTGTTTCCGATCTAGCTGTGTTAGCACCTTAGACAAATGTGTACATCCGGAACATCGCACAATCGTTGTCTCGATACCGCGGACTTCACACTGATTAGCGTTCCAGTGCAGGGAATAAAGTAGAGCAGCAAAGTCGTGTTTATTTGGTGGTGTTCGTTGATGACGACCACCAGACAATCTTGGTTGTGAGATATTTCCTCACATCACCTGTAGGATTCGGATGTGGTGTTCTGTCTATCTATGGCAGTGAAGAACCGGTGTTGAACACTGATGTCATGCCGTCGATGACGATGATGTTTCTGTCTATCTAACTATCCTGGTCGTACCTACGAGAGATGGGCTACTGCTTTAATACGGCCATATTTCGACTATGGGCGGATTAGTTTCTTCTTCTTCGGGGTTACCATTAGGAGGAGTATACTGTATTCACTTTGCTCCACCGCTATCCGAACAGTTCCAAAATTTTGTATTTCTTTACTCGTTTTTTGCTCATAAAGTTGCTAACTAGTTCACTGCTTCGCCAGACGTTGGTAGTTTCATATCATCCTCGTTCCGTCAGTCGGTTTGCGGATTAAATAGCACACCTTTCATTTAATGAATCCTTTATTTTGTGGAACGAATAAAGAATGGTTTTGAATTTTGACAGCAAGTCCTTGGGAGCCTATGGAACAGATCGGAAGAGCGG